TCCCTCAAAGGTTTCCCACTGATCAACAAGTTTTTGGAAGACCTTCAAACGTACATTTTTTAAACCAAACAGTCGACCAGTAAATAATAAACCAATACCAATGTCTTCCTCATCCACCTACAAGACAAAATTTCTTTCAATCACAGACTAAAACCAACCATTATTCAGAAGAGTTACATAATACACATTCACCTGTTGAAGAGGAAAATTAAAATACTTATGAATTAGCTCATATTAAACAACAATTATTTCTCGAGAGAGAAAATGATCCATCCGAAGAAATTTCAAATCCTTCATCCTAATGAAAAAATTGAAGCGAAATACTATCAAAACAATAAATAAAACATCCAAAAACCTACATGTAAGAATATTTACATGAAATTGAATGAAAAANATATTTGAAACACAACTTGAAAGGCGCAAAAAAATATATTAATTAATTTTCAATACTTTCAGATGAAACCAACGTTCGTACTCTCAATCCGTATACTCTTTCATTCTAGCAATGAATCTTCTCAAAAGTTAAATGATCCTATTTTACCCATCAATGTGGAAACAACTGGAATCATTCTGTTTAAAATCTGTTTTTTCGTTAATCAGCTGTCGCCCCCATACGAACGACAACTCTCAGAACTTGAGAAATTTGTGCGAGCTAAGGACTAACGAGGTCTTACCTTTTAACGTGTGATTCCTAACACGGTTGCAGAATCATCCCAGCTTCAACCAGATAAATTCTCTCGAGAAAAATATCTGGTCAACGCGGGAATCGAACCCACGGTCTTCCGATCGTGAGTCGGGCGCACTACCACCGCGGTCAATTCCACATTGTGAGTAAACATACATTTGTAAGTTACATGAATATTTCAGGGATTTTTGAGATGAAGCATCATTTAGATACTCGACTGAGTTTCGAACCGAGAAACAAAATTTAATCTATCAATCTGATTTACTCTTGCGACAGGCAAAGATTTTATCCACCACAGTGATCAATTACTACAAACTAAACATTCACATATTTTATCTAAACCTAGACTAATGAATATAGGTGGAAAAATATCCAAATGGTTACTTGGAACTCTTGACGATGAAAACGGTCGAAAAATAAAAATGATTCTAAATAAGCTGAGTAACAACAACAAAATTCTTCAGCATGCAATAAATAAGGAAATCTCAGTAGCAAAAGAATTTATGATACACCTAAATCATACTCTGTTCAGATAAAATAAAATATGCTTCTTCCTTTGAATTAAAAACAAATTCAAAGAGAAAATTAATAAAATAAATGTTATGCACTTGATAATTGACTCACTCATTAATCTCCAAAGCCAATTGAATCAAATTATTAATGCAATAACATTTGCAAACTTTCACATACCTGACATTTCTCTTATCGAATAATTTGAATTCTATAATAAAAATAACGATAAAATTATATTCTGAAGAACAAGTTTCAAAAATCAAAATAGGTAATATGCATACAGTTAGTCTTCACTAACGAGAGAATAATTTTTCTTATACACTGTCCAGTACTGATGCCCATTATATTTCAAACATGCTTTCTATATCCCATTCCAATCCAAAGTGAAATAATTTCACCCCTGAATGAGATTTCAGAACTATACCAATACCAGGAAGAACTTTATGCAGAAATAGAAGACGCATACTACCTGCAATCCGAAGAAGACTGCATCGTCACGGTCATGTTGAAAAATAAAGCTACCGATTGCCCCGCAGTGAATACCCATTTAGAACCTGGAACAATTTATTTTCTACATGGAGCAATATTCTCATTACCGAAAGCTTCTCTTTGGAAAAGCACCATGGAACTGAACCTGGGAGTTATATTATCACAATTCCAGATAAATGCCAATGAAAAATGTGCCCATGGTAATGGTGATCTTGCACCAATGAAAGTCATTCAGCTTCCATCATGAAACATTTCTCACCTATTTACCATACCAGTTAAACTGAAACTTGCCAAGATGAACCTAGAGGATATCCATCACCTCACAGCAAAGATGAAGTCCTTCTACCAAGCCACACAATTCCAATATGGATCATCGTGCTCATTTGTATGGCAATCTATGCAGCCACATATTTTGGGGAAACCAGTTACTATAAATCCTGATACCCATACTCCTTCATTACGTTCCTGTGACAAAGAAGAAACCTGACTGCAGCAGATGACTTTGAGCTGACCAGCCAAACTAACCAACCCTAGGCTTTCCTTTTAGGCGGGATCGAGGAGTTACGTATTTCCGAAGCCGACCCTTACTAACTTGTTTATTTTGCATACATCAGAAAATAAGATTATATTGCGATTGATTATATTTCCTTCTTCTCGAACTTTATCTTTAACAATGATAAAAGATAAGAACCACAAAATAGGTAATATGCATACAGTTAGTCTTCACTAACGAGAGAATAATTTTTCTTATACACTGTCCAGTACTGATGCCCATTATATTTCAAACATGCTTTCTATATCCCATTCCAATCCAAAGTGAAATAATTTCACCCCTGAATGAGATTTCAGAACTATACCAATACCAGGAAGAACTTTATGCAGAAATAGAAGACGCATACTACCTGCAATCCGAAGAAGACTGCATCGTCACGGTCATGTTGAAAAATAAAGCTACCGATTGCCCCGCAGTGAATACCCATTTAGAACCTGGAACAATTTATTTTCTACATGGAGCAATATTCTCATTACCGAAAGCTTCTCTTTGGAAAAGCACCATGGAACTGAACCTGGGAGTTATATTATCACAATTCCAGATAAATGCCAATGAAAAATGTGCCCATGGTAATGGTGATCTTGCACCAATGAAAGTCATTCAGCTTCCATCATGAAACATTTCTCACCTATTTACCATACCAGTTAAACTGAAACTTGCCAAGATGAACCTAGAGGATATCCATCACCTCACAGCAAAGATGAAGTCCTTCTACCAAGCCACACAATTCCAATATGGATCATCGTGCTCATTTGTATGGCAATCTATGCAGCCACATATTTTGGGGAAACCAGTTACTATAAATCCTGATACCCATACTCCTTCATTACGTTCCTGTGACAAAGAAGAAACCTGACTTCAGCAGATGACTTTGAGCTGACCAGCCAAACTAACCAACCCTAGGCTTTCCTTTTAGGCGGGATCGAGGAGTTACGTATTTCCGAAGCCGACCCTTACTAACTTGTTTATTTTGCATACATCAGAAAATAAGATTATATTGCGATTGATTATATTTCCTTCTTCTCGAACTTTATCTTTAACAATGATAAAAGATAAGAACCGGTATTTGCTGGCATCCATTTGTTATCTTGCAATGAATTATTGCATTATATATTTTGTTGATATTTTCTCAGGCGACAACCTCGTGAGTATTGTAAACGGGAAATATCTTTGATGTTTCTGGTATTTTATCTATTTTCCTTTAACAATATCATAGATTGTAGCAAGTAGTCGGAGTCAAACAAAGTGTGTTTCAACCATTACTGGTGCTTCTACCTTCTACGAACCACCACTGCTGGATCCACAACGTAATTTCACTTTCAGTAGACATGCGTTTAATTAGAAGTCGTAATGTGGAAGATTTAATTTTAAACAATATAAGAAATGTTATTTAGAGTTTTGTGGAAAATGTAAGTGTTAAACAATTTCATGATGGATTTAGGCTAGACCCGTTTCAAACTTTGTCTGAAAGTATGTTACACAACAAGCACTTTTTCAAACACCAGAACTGCAACACTCTACTCGACGCGCATTTCTCCAACCAAGTTAGCGAAACGCTAACTTACTGTTCACAGTAAGTGTGAATTTGTCAATTCACACTTGTCACTGTGAATTCACACTTATAACTATAAATTCACAGTCATAATTGTGAATTATGGAAACATAATATTATTGATTTTTGTGGCTCTTGTACGCCTCCGTATATTACAATAGATAAAAACAATTTCTACGATTGAGATATAACAAACAATTATTTTATAATATTAAAAAATTGATACCTTTCAATATAATTAAACATAATTCGAGATATGGCATCATAACATTGTTTACAACTAATGTCGTGTCGTGGTCTCGCATTCTCTCTACAGTTAAATATCAAGAAAGACCTATAAGTTTAATTAACCATTATTGTTTAAATATGGATCAGATTTTTCATCCCATGATTTATCTAGAATAATAACACAAATAATCACGTAAGCGCTATCTAAACCTGAGTTGTAAATTGTGAATGAGATAAGGTTAGGTTAGGTCAAATTATAATTGGAAAAACGTCAAAATTCTAAGTATAAATCTACGATTTATATTATAGAAAGTGAAGTTAGAATGTTTCACTTTCTAATCACGGGAACCAAGTTCCAACTGTCGCGAGATACTCGTGTCAAACATAGTACACTATATCATTGGAAGAGAGCATTTGGCACCAACCAAAAACAAAAAATTTGACAGATAGAACGGCAAAATGACAAGAATTCATAAAAAATTGGAAGATACAAACTCTTTTATTGATAATAAACAAATATTATAACTACCCTGCTACTATTAATTGGGATTACACGTTCGCGAGTGGATTCAAAACTGAAAGTAATATAAGTGAAAATGATCTCATTTGGTTCGTTATCAGTTTAGAGAAGAATACAGAAAAAAGCACAAAGTTCTTATTACTTGTAATTCAATTTTAACCACACTGGAAGTGATCGGATCGAAAGAAGCCGCAGTTATTGTCGAATGATAAAAAACGGTTCAATTCTCATACTGAGAAATCGACACAAAAAATATTTCAACATGCATTCACACATACATTGAAATATCGATTTCAACCAACTATTTAGTAAGTAGCTTGGATGAGTTTTCTCCAGTTATTTATATAATCTTGTGAAACTTTCAAATTATACTTTATAACGAAATATAAAATAATTCGTTGAAAACATATCAGTGTGGTATATATAACAAGAATAAATTTTCAATAATACCTAAACTTACCCTTTTTTCTTTTCACTGAAGAACTACAACAGGTTGTTTTATTGGTGTGAATGACACCTCAGTTCTCAAACGCACGCTCGAAAATATCGACCATTCGAATGTTGAGAAATTTACCGCCACAAAACGAATGAAACTTTCACAATGGCGGTAGAAAGCGCAGCCGCATTAACTCATGTCAGTCTTGACAAGACATTACCTGCAAATGTTAATTCATTTGTTTGTAGTCTGAAAAATATCAATCAGTCTTTTAAACAATCCACACGTGGAAATATTGAGACTTAGACTCAGTGTCATTATCTCTATACGTTTTGTGAAGAATCAGTTGAATGTTATTATAATAACAAAAGAAAAACGCGATTTACTGTTACGTCACTAGGCCATTTTGTATTTGGTGAAATCTTTGTTCTTGGAAGGTGAAAATACAACAAAGGTTTTCCATAAACCTATTATCTTGTTGAAAGTGTTAATATAAATTCATCAAAATTCCGGTGCCTACGAGAAATAGAGATCCCGGCCATTACGGTAGCGGTGATATGAACAACAAAAGGAAGAATCGAGGAGGCCCTGTAAGGTTGGTACTTTTAATAACCTAAACAATAAAACTATTCAAAATAACAGAGATATATTTTTTAATATTTCATCCATCGAGGATTTCAACAAGACTGAATTGCACCTGATGGATTGTTAGAACATAAAAAAAATAAATACCAAGTTAATTTGAAAATAAATTCCAAACTTTATAATAAAAATGGCCATTGCAGATTATATTTACCCATTAATACTGATTCCACAACCACCAAGAGTTCAAAAGTCCAAACCAGTTTAACATTTCTATATTTTATTGAACATTTAATTAACGTTTGAACATTTATTATTCACTAATTTTTTTTCCAAGACACAATGGCAGTGCTCATCATACACTCATGTTTTTGATGAGTGAAAGTATTCACAAGAGACATAAAATAAATAATTATTGTTCAAGAACATTATTTTTGTCAAAGTTTCAAAATTTAACATAAACAGTTGAGAAGTATACATACTTCCTAAGTATAAAATAAAGTAAGGAAGGGTAGCAATAATCTACTTGAAGTTGAAGAAAATTCAATCAAAAATATTGGGAACTCTGTGAATGTTTTAATGCATCAATCTGTAGTCGATTCCCAGATCATTATAAGGAAATATCAATTATGATGAATAATACTTCAAATCTATCTCCAGTTTTCAGTTTCATGATTGATTAACTTCAAACCTATATTCACATTTTATTAGAATTGATATGAGTTAATCTAGTCAATGAATATAACTGGAGTTTTTTCCAACACCAAACCGTTATTTCAACACCTCTACACATGTTTCGATCACCAAGTGGTCATCTTCCTCTTAAGATCATAATCGAAACTTATTCATATAATAGGACATTTTTTATTCGAATGGAAACATCATCGAGTCAGTCAGCTATCGTTGCCAAATATGACTCCAGTCATTTACTTACTCTGTTATATTCTAACATTTTACTTTTAATCAAATGTTCTTGCTGAAATTTTTCGTTCAGGTAATAAAATTTATTGTTTTCGTTCACATTGTATATGTTTATACGTAGTTAAGAGATTAATTTTGACATAATAAAAATGTGAGTTGAGTTGTCTAAAATAAATACATTCGTTCAAGAGTTAACTCGAGATATTTCCTCTACTTCAACATGGTAGCAGCGCGTGGTTGGTTAGCCTGAGGTTCTGGTGTATAAGAAATATTTGCGAATTATAAGAAACAACTGAAATTTTCTTGCTGAAAATTAGTGACATTGACAAGTGTTCTGAAGCAATCATTTTATTCAGTTGAATCCAAGCTCTACCAAAAGCAAAATGGATGCAACTAAAATACAAATAGGATTACTTGAGGGCAAGTCAAACTGGTCATCATGGAAATACAAGCGCAGCTTACTATTACGAAGTATTCAAGGCGGTACTGAAGTAGTTGAAGGAAAATTAACTTTACCCGAACCTTTACCAGAAAACGCAACCCAAACTCAGAGAACAAAGTATGACAAGGAGTTGAAANGTTAGTGAATTTTGTGAAAGATGTGTTTACGGAAAAGCTCATATAATGAAGTTTGGTACCAGAGACAGAGCTGATGTTCCTGCACAACGAATACATGCTGATGTATGTGGACCTTTTTGTCCATCCAAGTCAGGTTACCAATATTATGTCCAGTTCAAAGATGATTTTAGTAGGTTCCGTTATGTCTTCTTCATCAAAGAAAAATCTGAAGTTATAGGTAGAAAAGCTGAAGATTTTACTAATCGAGTATGTCGGCTTCAGAAAAGTTTATATGGACTCAAGCAGGCACCAAGATGTTGGAATAAGTGATTCCATGATGTTGTGAAGAAACTTGATTTTTTCATACATTGAGGTGGTTGGGGCTCTTATGTATCTAATGACAGGTACAAGGCCAGACATTGCTTATGCAATCAGTGTTATTTCCAGGTCATTAGAAGATCCCAGCAATCATAATTGTATCCAAGTAAAACGAAATACTTCGATACCTCAAGGAACAAAGATTACGGTATAACGTACAAAACAACCAGTATGGATGGCCTGAGAAGTTTTAGTGATGCTGATCATGGCGGGGATGAAACAACAGGACGTTCAACAACAGGTGTTATTTGTATGTATGCTGGCGGTTCGATATCTTGGCTCGGTCAACGACAAACCTCAGTAGCTATTTCCTCAACGGAAGCTGAGATAGTAGCTGCAAGTGAAGCTTCCCATGAACTGGTTTGGTTGAAACAGCTATATGAAGAATTTTTGGATATGAAATGTAATCCAGTATTGATGATTGATAACGAAGCTGCAATACGTTTGGCCCAAAATCCGGAATATCACAGACATACCAAACATATTCATATAAGACATTTCTTTGTAAGGAAACTGGTCTTAAATGGTGCTATTTCAATTCAAAAAATAGCATCAGAACACCAAGTAACAGATGCACTTACCAAACAGCTGTTCAAGCCAAGATAGATTATTTTACGACAAACAATGGGATCAACAAATTATTCGATGAGAAAGGGTGTTGAAAAACCACCATTTTCATAATTTGTTTTCGTTCACATTGTATATGTTTATAGGTAGTTAAGAGATTAATTTTGACATAATAAAAGTGTGAGTTTTCAGTTGTCTAAATAAATACATTCATTCAAGAGTTTACTTGAGATACAACAATTTTTTCAATAATTTGAACATATGATTATATCAGAAAAAATATCAAATGTGAAATGGGTCTTGAACCCGTAAATGAAAAAATAAATAAAACAGGGCTATCCGTTAAAAACAAAGTATTCTTTCATAAACACTCTGTACCCAATTGGTTTTTTCATTTTAATATTTGGAATGATTGCACTATTTCATGAAACTGAGAGCTACCAAAGGTCCCAATAATAACTTTGTTATCAAAGATACAGCATAATTCAAATTGCCAAACTAGTGGCATTTTTTGAACTGATTGAATTGAAAGACAAAAAAACACACAAGTATCGACTTTTTAGGTGAAATAGTTTATGCAATGGAAAGCCCTTCCTTTATAATTTTATTTGTGGAAAAGTATCGTATTCCTATTTCAAAACTATACGCAATTTTTTCAGATAGCGGGGATTTAAATCAATATTTGTCAAAATGGTTTTTGTTTTCTCGGTAGGTGTTTAAAAGATGCTGTTCAACATGTAAAATTCTGGAATTTTTCAGATTAGTCACTATGAAGGCATAGTATGGACAAAAATGGTTTTGAAAAAGTAATAACTGAATTCTGATATCAACTTCAGAATTCAATAAAATTTCTATATTAAACTCAAAATTCAAAGTCAGAATTTAACTACGAGTTCGAAGTTGGAATTTAATAAAATTTTGACTTTGAACTTGTTGTTTGTTAAATTCCAACTCGTAACTCACAATTTCATTAAAATTCAACTACAAAATTGGAATTTCATCAAATTGTAACCTCAAACTAGGAATGTGAAGAATTTTATTCTCAAGGAGATGTGTAGCCCTTCTATGTCTCCTTGCAACTGTATATACTGTTTCCAGCGACGTTCAATAGGTTCGAAACCGTTTTTATAATAAGAACTGTATTGCTCTTCAAAATAGCTATTAACTGTGGAAATCACTTCTTCATCGTTGGAAAATCTTTAACCACTGAACCATTTTTTTAAGTTTGGGAACAGAAAATGATCCAAGGGGGCTAAATCTGGCGAATAGGGTGCATGAGATAGCAATTCCAACTTTAATTCGTTGATTTAATGCGATTGTCTTAACGAAACATCACTTTTTTCTTGGTCATTACTTTTTTCTTTCTTGCTTAATTTATTCTAACTTTCCACTAATGATATTCCTATTTCTGAAGATTTTTATAAAAATGTATATTCCTATTCTGTCGGCTCATATACAAAGATTTTGATAACTTCTACAAGTGGGTATTATCAAATAAATTTATTGAAAATTAATTTCCAATAATTTAAATTAATGTATTATAATATGAAAACTAAGAATTTGCAGCTCATGTTGTTATTAAAACTATCAATAAAGTAAATGTGATTTTTGCTGCTGATATGAATAGCAGGGAAAACAGTATTTTTTGGTATATGATGAAAAATTCGGCAGACCATTTTAAAAGTTATCAAATAGAAAATAGTTTCTTTCAGAACGAAATAATTTCAAACTGATTGCCTGAATTGCATTTTCAGTTTTATTTTCGAACATTTATGTAAGTCATCTTGTTACTATACTTCACTGAAAGTTTTTGAATCTATTTGCAGGACACAACGACCTCCTCGGTCAGTAGTGCCTGAAGGGGTCTATAGCAATGCACATTTTATGCATGCTTCCACGGCACAAGTTGGAAACGTAGTGCGTATAACAACGGCATCCGGTAGTGTTTGGGAAGGTAAGTAGAAAAGAATTATCCCCTGCAATTTTTCAGAGAATCTTTTTTTTTTTCATATTAAATGGCTTCTGAACACCCACACACATATGGGTGTGCCTTTCAATTTACACAGTTAAAGCCAACTCCTGTTACTTAGTAATTGACAGCACTTTAAAAACTTAATATTTCACCTTGCCCTAGCTATCAAAAGTATGTTGAAGACTTCTAAGGGTTTTTCGTAGTTGGTTGGCAGTAAACATTATTTTGAACAAATAGATTGAAGTGGATGTTGTTTCACCTACTTTATATTTTTATAGGATGTTGAGAGATGAATAAGGACATATTGTGTAGTGATTTTTTTTTAATGAACCAGTTCTTTTTGGGGGTAACTCCAAACATTTTCTTATTTCTTTTAACAAAAAGTGTTTATGAATCAATTTTTGTTCATACCATCTTTATCTTCTGACAATATTTTATTCTTCAGGTGTGTTCAAAACTTTTTCAAGTCATTTTGATGTGGTCTTAGAGATGGCAGCCAGAGTTGATAATCCAGAGAGCCCTAATTCCCAAATTAAAGCAGATACCTCCGTAGACAAGCTCATTTTTAAACCTTGTGATATTTTGACAATGGTGGCGCAAGATGTAGACCTAGATTACCCCACAAGAGATACCTTTCAAACTGATACTGCCATTTCTGCTCGACTCAATGGTAACTCTAAAATGGAAGAAAGAGAACTAGAACCTTGGGACCCATCAGGTCTCAACAATGGAGACTTACCCCTTGAACTTGACCAAGCTAATGGCTGGGATCCTAATGACATGTTTAAAAAGAATGAGCAAGAGTATGGAGTACAGAGTACTTTCGATCAGTCACTTAGAGGTTACACGGTGCCATTGCAGCATACTGATACTCCAGACTACAAAGAAGCAGAAGCAAAAGCCAATCTGATAGCTAACGAAATTGAGAGTCAACCTGCACATAAAGCAAGGTTAGATTTGGAGAATGGGGATGAAGAATCTGTTTTTGCAGCTGTGGTACGACCACACCAAGAATCTAATACAAATGGTATGTCATCTCCACTTTAGTTAGCAATTTATTTTATTAATTTATTGACAGTTTCAAAATAACTTTGTGAATACACATCAATCATCCAGAAGTACTATCACCATCTCCGTCTGAAATTTTCAAACAACTCCACAAATTAGGAGAAAAGTTGATATTGTCTCAATTTTGTAGATGCAATAGAGAGTGATTTGGTATTTTATCTATTTATTTTCTGTGTGAAATGTAATCTGTATATAATTTTATGTGATATTTTTTTTGATTACGTTTGTAACCTGTCTCATTGTGAATCTCAAATAGTATTGAAATAAAACTTTTTTTCTTTGGACTACAATACAATCTATTTTCATAAGGTTCGGCTAAATATAGGTTTATTGACAAACAAAATGGAGTTGTTTCAAAAACCATTTGATTTTGGTTATTTTTTTCTTAACTTTTTTCTTCCAAACATTTTAACCCATTTATTTTGATTAGATAATTGATTTTTATAATTTAGGTCTCATATGATCAGTTATTGAAAATATGTTGGAACTGATGAAATAGTAATAATTATATTTACTACTGAAAATTACTAAACTTCAAAAATTTCATTACTATTGTAGAAATTAAGATGTGCTTTACTAATAAACCCAAGTTGACGTTCTCCAACAATTTTTACAAAGTTTTGGCACATCAAACATATGTACAAGATCAGGGGATTATCATTCAGAAATGAATTCTGAAAATTATGGTATATGATTACAAGAAAAGTTAATCCCAAATTTACCTATAAATTCCCTGACTGATAACACTCCACACTATAATATTAAAATTAATCCAGCTCCCAACACAAATTCTAGGAAGGCTGACATGGTGAAGTGGTTACACGAAAAAAGCATTATGTTCACTCCTAACATGCTCAAACCCGATTTATACAAGTTGATCAAGGTAAATAAAAAGCATCATATTAGATACAAATCTGATGAGGTTCTGCTTGAGTACGGACATAATGTTTTGCGACTTCCACCCTACCGTCTGGATTTGAATCCCATTGAACTCATTTGGGCTACCGTCAAAAACAACACCAAAAAAAGGTAACTTTCAAGCTGGAAGATGTGAGGAAACTGGTGGAGCACGAGTTTGATCAAATCACTTCTGAGAAATGGCAAAGGCGTTGCCGACATGCAGTAGATATAAAGCAGAAATATTGGGAAAATGAAACGCTCACAGACGTTCAACCAGAAGCAAATCCCGTGATTATAAATTTAAAGGACAATAGGAGCACAAGCACCAGTGAAGATGAAGAAAATTTGTATTCACATAGTGACTGATTAAAGTCTATTTTTAATAAGTGTATGATTATATAACAATTTATTGAACTGTACTACTACCTATAATATTAATTAATGAACTGTACTACTACCTATAATACTAATAAAATATGAAAAGAAATAACAAAAAAGTCATGTTCCATTTGCTACCCTAATTAAAACTAAATTATAGATATGACACTGGTCAGCAAGGGGCTTATTCTAATCCAGTAGTAATTTAGTTGTGAGAGTCTATAACTGCGCGATTGCTCAGCCGTGGCGTGTACTGTAGCTTCATATGAACCTGGGTTGTGCTGTAAAATGAAAATGTTTTTATATTTTCTCCAATATGTTCATCACAACATGTTAGATTGCAAATACTTTACAAATACAATGTACCAAGTTTTCTAAATAAATACTTTAGTTCTAGAGTTACATTATTTATTTTTTAATTAAAATATTCAAAATGTCAAAATAAATTACCCCTACTAGAAATGAAAAAAAAAGTAATCAGGACAATGATATGCTTTCGATAAATACAATAAAATTTCCCACCCAATTATCTTCAATCATTCCATATAGGTACATTGTGCAAAAATTCATCCTGATATCCATTGAAGGATTAGGATGATTTGTAAAGTGTACATTTTACATAATTTCCTTAAATTGAATATTTAAAAGGGTATTGATCAAATTTTCAAAAATTACTTTTTGCACCAGGGATATAGGTGGGTACTTGAAATGAACTGAATGGTGAATAAATCTGAAGAAAAATGTTTAGTAGTTATAGTCCAAGGAAACTGATTATTAATTACAAGATGATTCAGAATCTAAACGTTATTCGTGGAGGTACATATGGAAGCATTTATGGGTTTTCCCTTCACTGGAATAAAGAAAATAATTATGATCTAATAATAAAGGCAAATTACTAAATTTTCCCAGAAATATTACTGTGTTTGAATAACTGGTTAATAACACTTCTCATTTTAAATTTAGCCTAAATACTTCGGAAAACAAAAAAATATTAATTTTAAATGAAAATATCCTTTCTTTGGACGACGTTTGGGAATCAACTATGTCCTCATGCTGAATGTTTAATTCAAACAGACTCTTACTTCTGGACAAATTCAATAATGTGTTCTTATTTGAATAATGTTTTTTTTAATTCCAGAAGAGTGAAAACCCGTTAATGCCAGGTAATTTCACTAAAATTATCGAATTGCTTGATAACTGCAGTTACCTAAAGGAAATGCGATTGAAAAATTTTGTACCAGGACGACAAGCTTGTTTGGTTCCAGTATGGATTGCAAGTGAGATATAATCTATTTGTCGTTATATCATTATTTCGTTTACTCAATAAATTTTGAAATAGTCTCACAAGGCACATGCCGCACCTCATTTTGATCCCTAGGATTCGTAACACACATGTTGTGCCTCATTGCAATCGGTTCAATTTGGCATCGCAGCACAGCAGTTAGTCGCGCTATACCGGTTTCTTTATGGGGAATGAAAGAGCGTTGCCCAGGGAGACAACAAATACTTTTGATCCATGAGATTTGTTGGATTTTCAGCGATTGTGCGACACATCATGTATGCCTCTTTTTTTGTGTGGTTTTAGAATTTGACCTAAAACTAAGAACTACTCAAGAGATAACATTCATTAGGAATGAATCACAAATATGAGTTACAAATAATATAAATGAAAGTATTCCGTTTTTTAGGTTTGCATAAAATGATGGTCAACAAAAAACATGTTACACAGTAACATTTGTTGCAGCCAACACATCGATATTTCGTACGTGAGGCCTTATTCAATGCTTCTTTTCTTCCTTTTTCATCTTTCATATCACGGTAACACACAATACAGCGCAAACGAGAAGACCGCTCCTCCAAAAAATGTCTGCTTTCTGGCGTTCTTGATTCGTCTTCAATGGTTTCTGTTGTTTCAGAAATTCGTAACAAAGATAGGCATAATTTTTCTCAAAACTCAGTAATGGAGATTTTGTCTTGTGTAACCTCCTTGAAAACCAAGTGGGCATTGACGATGGCGGAGCCTAATAATATCTCAATTGAAAGTTTTCTGTACCACTTAGTACCTCGACGTAAACAATGCGAGTAAGCTTTGATCTAATCTGCCAAATCAATATACGATTTTGCTTTATTTTAATCTAAAATCACCTCAGGTTTTTCAATGTTACCACCTCGTTGCTCAATTGTCTTTATATTGTCTTTATGGAGTGTGCTCAGAACAAGTACGTCCCTTTTATCACGCCACTTACAAACCATAATTCCCGTCCCACTTTCTTTTGCAAAAATTTCTTTGGGCTTGAGCTTCATCTGCACAACTTCTTTCGGATTGTATTTTTGGTTATTACGCAAAGTGCCAACCAAATGTGTTTGTCTATTCAGGAGTTCAGTAGCTAATGAGACACTAGTATAATAATTGTCAGTAAATAATTGGCAACCTGAATCTAGTAAGTTTTGCATGAGAGAAAACACAACATTTGAAGATGCTTGTCCTCCTTCAGCTTTATCAGTACCACAATAAATTTGAAAGTTGTATGTATAGCCACCTTCACAGCTTTTGTATACCTTTATGCTAAATTTATGTCTCTTGTTTTTTATATATTGTCTAAATCTAAGTCTACCTCGGAATGGGACCATTGTCTCGTCAATGCATACTTGCAAACCAGGAGTATAAACATCTTGAAACCTTGTCACAATTTGTGTGATCAGGGGAGAAATAATCCGGAGTCGATCTGCGTTCAGCGTCGTGTCTTGGTTATCGCTAAAATGCCACATGGCTAAGAGTAATTCAAATCTATTCCGAGGAATAATTTTGGATATGCGATTCCAATATAACGGACTTTTTTTCCAGTATGACCTCACGGATGGCACACTAAATAATCCCATCCATATGAGCACACCTAAAAATTTTTCCATTTCTTCATTTGTCGTAGGGGTCCATTTATTTATTCGTGATTTAGGCTTGTTCTCTTTAGTCAATTGTTGTTCAGCGTAACTGTTTGTCTCTGTCACCATAAAAGTCACTATTTCATCTGTTATAAATAGTTTGAATACATCATAGGGACGTTTGCTGATATAATCAGTATAAAGGTAAGCTTTTATCCCAGAATCACTTACAGTAAGAGGAAATTGTTTGAAAGATGTTCCATCAACAGGATTCCATATTAGATGGTTCAGATCTTCGATATTGACTGGTTCATCTTCATCTTGTACAGCATACTGTGCAATTACATCCTCTATAACTTGATCCGTATTGCTAACACCTTCAAGTATGTCTGTATCAATATTTTGCCTGCTAGTAGATAGTACATCATTTTGATTAGGCACATTTTGCTCAATGTTGTTACCTCTCAGTTTTTTTTTGGACGGGAAACATCTTCAGAACTATTACTACTACCTGATTCAAATTCACTGCTTGGCGAGTATGCATCAGACAAATAAACATCGCCAAATTGACTACAATTACTTTCATCGTCAGATAATATTTCATTCCATAATTCTTGAAGTCGTTTTTGTTCTTTACTGTACTGGTCAGACATGGTGTAAACCAAATAATATGTTTCCTGCACGAAGATACAATATAAATGATCACCCGCGCAATACTATTTGGAACGATTTGCGATAAAACACAAGTCTGAACAAGTAATTGTGCGACACATTTTATATGCCACGTGGCCCCAGAGAATAATATAGTCCTACATGCCACGCGACATAAAACTCATACCACACACAACATTAGCTATAAATCTAAAACAAAGAAAGATTTTTGTATATAAATTATAACACTGTGATTCCACGTCAAAATGGAGCCAGAATAATTAAAAAAGAAAATTGGCCCAGTGGACCCAATTTTTTGTCCATATAGTGGCGCTTAACGTGTTAAGAAGACTATGTGAGCTATAATAAAACCTCACTGGTTGCAATGGACTCACTTTAGATCCATCTACCTATAAGTTGATTAGTATGGTAGGTCTCCCCTGGTAATAACTGATGCCAGATCCTCTGCAACCCTGCAACAAATTATATTTTAATTCTCATTTATCTAATCATTACTATGGATATAAAAATGTGGGACTAGTGCTATATGTGGTCTAAAATAATTGAGACTCATATAAGGTTGCCAATTTCATGAAATATAAGAAATGTTTTGTAGGCCATAAAAAGGTCCGCGATGGTATACATCTATCTTTTGGGAATAATCCACAATAACCATTTTTTATCCTTTACTTTTTACGAGAAATAATGGCTTATCTACGAAGTGACTTTAAGCAATACAGCATAAATCCTTATCCAATTAAGTACCTTAAATACATTGTGCATTTAATATAGATCAATATGGTTCTTTACAGCATGTAATTTAAATGAATATTTTCGAAGATATTACAGATTTAAAATGCAGGGATATAGCGGTTGCGGCGGTACCGACGTGGGGCCGTGCCTATAAATAGCGTGTCGAAGGCTGCGCTACAGCAGCGATCGCACACGTTTATCAGAACTCTCTAGCAAAGAAAATAACAATACTTTAAAGACATTCTGTGGTATATTTAGTATCAGCATTGCACCCGTGCGGGTCGGGGCAGATCGCTAGTAGTAAATGTTAATTTCGTACAAGTGTAAAAAAAATGTATAGCGAAAATTTGTAAAACCCTCTATAGTTAAAATCATACAATAAACTGTACTAATGAGTTTTAATATTGATTTTCATCAAGTATCCCCAGTTCTATTCAATAATTTTGTACAAGTTTGCTTTAGTAGTTTTTTCACAGTATATAGTATTGGCTGAACAAATATAAAACCATTTAGATCCTTAAGTTGTGAAACCCCAATCAAATAAAGGAAATAGAATCACAATATTACACTACACTACACAATAGGATTAAACCAGGTAGTTTATTGCTGTTGATAAGTCAATACCATCCAGAGTGAAACATACTATACCTGCTTAATGCTCATTGGAAAAAACTACAACCCTGGTTATGCTGAAAAAACTTGTATACTTTAAAATGAACAGAAAATTACAAATATTATATTCGATTAATATAGAGAGAATAAATAAACCTTCATTTTTATAGATTGGAATCAAATTAAAACGAATTAAAAAAAATAAATGTACATATTCTTCTATTTCTTCCAACTGAGATTGATGAACATTTCAAATAGAGTTTGATGGTATTTTTTGTAGAAGAAGAGGGGAATTAACACTGAGGAAATGTATGTTCACAAAAGCAATATTAACATTTTTCCAAATTTTATTTTTAGGTAAATATATCCCTCCAGCAAAAAGAAAGAACCAAAACAATGGAAAATTGGTGAGGAGTACTCCTCCACCAAGTCAGAGCAGCAGCAGTAGTCAAAATACTCCCTCGCCTAAAGAAGCTAGACCACCAATGAACTATCCTACTCATTCATCTCCGCACCAGAACAACATTCATATTCATCAAGGTAATTTCTTAATTTCAAATTGGACATCAAATCTTTCAGCACCACCAAATCAACAGCAGCAAATGCATAATGCAAATGTGCATTCTCCTCCAATTATCATGCAGTCCCAGCCGATACCCACCCACAATCGTCCTCATTCCCATACGCCTCCTCATCAGATGCAACCCCCTGTCCAAATTAGACAGCCACCTCCTCCAGTTCAACAGCAACCCCATCCACCCAAACCTCAAATCAACGGAGAAGCAAAACCGGCGCCTCCAAGACAACAAAGGAATGTTTATCAAAACCAAAATATGCAGCAATACCCTCCAGAGATGAAACAAGAAATGAATATTCCGGTACATCAAGTGAGGCATAGGGAAGAATTAAAAGATTTGCATCAGTTCGCCCAAGATTTCAAATTAAATCCTATGCAAGTTGACCAACCTCCACCTCATATACAAGGACCGCCTCCAGTTGTGGAACAGGTATAAAATTATCACTTTTTTATTGCATAACTCATTTGTTGACAAATTCATTAATTTATTGTTGATATCTATATTTATTTTTAAATACTTGTCTCGGCTCGTGAATAAGTATTCTCAAATATATAGAGCTTGTATTATAAATGGTTGTTTTGTTAATATTTTGTGGCAAATTGTTATCAAACACCATATTAATTTGGGAATTCATTGAATTAGAGAAAACCACGTATTTTTCCATGTAATTATGCATTTATTTGTTCAGGAATTTGCAATAATGAATGTTGCTTAGCAGTCACGTAGTAAATTATTCAGAACTTCGATAAGCACCATAGATTATTTTTTACTGATAATCATTCCAGGAAATTTAAAATGATTCTCATATCTTGATTTCATAACTTTTGTAGCTGATGAATTTTGTTATATGCAAGTACAGTTATTTGGAGATTATGTATTGTGATATAAATGAAATTATCTCAGATTAATGAAATACACGAATTAATTCATTAAATCATCGATATTCTTTCTCCAGAACTAAGTTGCCTTGTATATTAACTTTTTATGTTTGTGAAGTGTGATTGAAATAAAGTTTTATCGTCAAAAAAAATAAGAACCTTTATAATAGTGCATACTTTTGAACGAATGTCATTTTTTGTGGAGGAAAATCAGTCTTTTACCGACCTTTTTTTGGTATTCTCACCTTCCACAATCTGAGAAATATGAAAATTATAAATGAGAACTTTATACAAGTGTAGAAATGGAAAACTTTTTAGTTCACCCCAATAAGTTACTGCGTAAAATCTAAATGTTCTATTTATCAGTAACTTGTCGTATTTAACAATTTTGCTTATCAAAACAATGGGGAATGTTCCTTCTGACGAAAATCAAGTAGTTTTCATAAAAGATCTCTAAAACAACGCATTTTAAACTTATCATTTCAACCTTTTTCTTTAAAAAATTATTTAAATACTTAAAAAAGAGGAATGAAATAATGCATTCAACATTTAAAGGGATTCGTTTGTATTTCACCATTTGGCAACATCGGTTATAGCTAATAAAGGACAATGAATCTGTTACCTGTATAGGGTACTCAACATTTCGGAGGTTAAGATCTGTTTGCAATTTGTCATGCAATTTTTTGCTTGTTGTTCTTGGGTTTTGCATAAGCGTGTATAGATTTCACTGTATTTGAGGCTTTGAACACTCGCAGGATGGTTTCCTGTGTAGTGCAGTTATCTATTAATATACGTTTCAGTATGTGTTTTCTTTCGACAAACATCAAGGGAAGAAAGTTAACTAACATGTTCAATCCCTATTGTAACCTTCATTGTTGGTTTATGTTTGTTGAAATAATTTATTTCAAATAATAAAGACATTGTCAATATATCTCTACCAAACTTTCAGACTACTCTGGTAAGTTTCAACAAATGTTTCTTAATATGGAAGATAAAGGGAATCCATAGCTGTGCCAAATTCTTGTTAATAAAAGTCACATCCAAATTGAAAATAGGTCTCGTCTATACATCAACTTGAAAGTTTCATTATAGAACCTCAATCCATCTTTGTACCATCTTGATTAGATGCTTGGCAGGAACATCTGGCATACAGATGAATCAAAACACAGGTCGGAAGCTGGAATATACTGTGCAGGAAGAAATATCAATCTCAGTTACCCACTCGGTCAATACACATCAGTCTTTCAGGTTGAAATGTATACAATCTTGCAATGTGCAAGAAACATTTATTCAATGCCTCAACAAAACGAGTAGATCAATATTTTGACAGATAGCCAGGCTGCACTAGTGGCACTGACAAACCCAAAAGTAGCATTGAGACTGGTCTAGGAATGCCGTGAGGAACTGAGCACTGGGTAAAGAGCACTGGGTAAACCCACAGGGACTGTCCAACAATAGAACCAAAGAACTGCTTCAACAAAGCAAGGATCAGCTCAGAATAATTGATAGGCTACAGAACCTGCACCAAAAAGGGCTGTACAAAGGAGGCCTTAGCTGCAGGCAATGCAACAAAGGGTCGGAGACAGCTCGTCATATGTTATGTTAATATGAGGCTCTGCCATTCAGGCTGCAGTGTTTTCCGGAAACTTGGAAGAAATGGACAAGTCCAGCAGGTCTCAGAAAGCAGAAAAAACATTAGAAATGAATATGTATAATTTGGAAAAATATATATGAACACATCTGATACCTAATGATTTAAAGTTGTTAAAATTCTTACGTCTCATGAAGAATCACTACTTGATAAAAGACAGAAAATTTCTTAGTATTTTCCAAAATAGTAGGTACCAATATTTGAACCTTTATACTGCTATAGAGAAAACACTCAGAAATTACCCCTGGAAATATCTGGTGAATGCAGATCTGAATGTAAAAATGTTCTGATAATGAATTACCTTGGTTGATTTCAGATACTTGATACTTTTTTTCGTTGATTTCAAGCAAAACATATCAAACTCATAGGAGAGGAAATAAACATTTACAAAAAGCTGAAGCACATGCCAACAAAATCAGTTGAACAGAAAGTTTATGAACAATTGGCTAGTCATAAAAATATTCTAACCAAAAGAGAACGCAATCAACTGAATTCTCATCTTAGTAAACCTCCTCCTTTTTATGGTTTACCAAAAATACATGAACCTAATATAAAAACTCATTGTACGTTCAATTGGATCTCCTTTTTGTGATGCACTGTTTGGAACCTTTGGTGTAGTAATAAATATACTGGAAGTTTTTCAAGATGCAGGTACCTAGAACAGGTATCTATGGTATAAATAAGGATAGCTTTGTTAGTATGATTAGCTTGATCTTCCTCTTGAAGATGATCACTGGGTGATCGAAACACATGTTGAGGTGTTGAAATAACGGTTTGGTGTTGGGAAAAACTCCAGTAATATTTATTGGATCTCCTTGTCAAAAATTACCAAGATACAACAAAGTACGCATTCTTTGACTTCATAAAGTTTTCCAATACAATTTTCATTTTGTCAGATTGTTGAAGATGAACATACCCAAAAAAGGTGGATATTTCTGATCGCATAACAAGCTTCATACTTATTCAAATTTGATATTTTTTTTCAAATGCTAATCAATTTTGAGTCATGCAATTAACAGACTGAGAATATGAAAAAACTCAGTGGTACCATTCCATTAACAGGCATTATTAAAAGTAAAAATGGATTTTTTTTATGAATATCGCCTGAACAGTAACATTCTCAACTTGAGAAAAACAATTCAGTTGCAGCTTGGCAAATCTAGTTGTGCCTCTGAGATACCAAAACGATAAAACTACTGTAGAGCTCTCGCTCCACTCTGCCTGCTGATCTACTGCGTATCCAATATTCAGAGGCACAGTGAGATTTGCCAAGCTGTACATCATTTGAAGGACAAATTTTGTAGTATAGCAGTGCCGCAATGGCAGTAGCTGCAAATCTTTTGATTTTAAATTGTTACTCTTTCCAGGTCCAACAGATTCCAACATTTATACCCACGAAACCTCCACAACAAGCATCTCCCCCACAACCACAGCAAGCCATAAGCCCACCACAGGAAAATATAGATAAAGTAACAAACACTTTGAAGAAATCAACTCTGAATCCTAATGCCAAGGAATTTGTTTTGAATCCTGCGGCTAAACCATTTCAGCCAAGGTGGGTGGAATTAAATAAACCTCAATCACCTCATGAAATTTGGCAAGGCAGGCATCGAAAATATTTTGGGCGAGTGTAGTTCCTTGGAAAAGGGCTTTTTGAATACTTTTTTTATTTGTAGAACGTAGTTGATTATTTTGTTTAGTGTGAAAATTTCTTTGTTCAACACAAAAACGACAAAATACTGTCTCGCAGATGATGTTAACTTGGTTAACGAAACGTGAATTGAGAGACAGTATTTTTATTCTGGTGTTAGATAAGTTATTTTGATAAACTCACTTCACGCCAGTGGTTTCAATTTTAACTATTGAAATAATTTTTCCTGATGTAGATTCCATGAAACAAGAACCTCCTAGTGTTTGACATAACAATTCTTAAAATTTAGTATTTTTTAGTTTTGATGCTACTTACAATTTTTTTTTTTTGAGAAGTTCTAATATCTGCATGTATGTTGATCAATCAATTATTTTGAATGTCTTCATTCTAGATCCCCAAGTACACCGTCAGCAAGTAGACCACACACTCCACAAACTCCTAGCCATAGTCCATATATACCAGCATCGGTGGGTGGTCCTGCGGTGCCTCCTCAAATGCCTGTGATGATGCCGGTGCACTATGTTGTAACAAGCCAACCTCAGTATCAACAACCTCCGCAAGGAAGGATCAAGCGATGTGAGTTTTAATTATTTAGTGTTTTTTTATGGGAAGAAAGCACTGAAGATATATTTCTTTCAAAAATATCTTCCAACAATTATTCTCTATCTGAGACATTTATTGGCTATCGAATGCTTAGCACTCGTATGGTGTATGCCAATATTATATATCTTCACACAAAATACTCATTTTTAAAATGAACTATCCAAGAATTTTTGTTGCAAATAAATCTTCATGGTTCTACTTAACAACTGGACATTTGCCTCTGAATATCATAGATGTAATGCAGAAATGCTCCTCAATTTGGGTTATTAGAGCAAATGCAAGTTTGAATAAAATGAAGTTGAGTTTAATTCATGAGTTTTTCAAATTCACTTCGAAAAGTATTCAAATTGATGTTTCAAATGTTGGGTTTTAATTTTTAAAGGGATTTGTTTCTAATTAACATATTGGCAACAGCGCCTATATCAAGTTGAAATAATTTATAGGTACCTAGATATTCTACTTTAAAAAAGGAAAATTATCTTTATAAATCAACAATTAAGGCAAAATATAAATTATAGTTCAATACCACCTCTACAAGCTACATAAACAACAGAAACAACAGTTGTTTTTGTTATTTATTTATATAGAGAAAGATAGGTTAGGTGCCAAAATGTCATATGTAATAGAATGTCTCGGAACTCGGAACATAAGTAAACATAACAGCACGCCTTGAAATATGTCATATTTGTTTGTCTCATACAGGTAACAGATTCATTGTCCTTTATTAGCTATAACCGATGTTGCCAAATGGTGAAATAGAAATGAATCCCTTTAAATATTGAATGCATTATTTCATTCCTCTTTTTTAAGTATTTAAATAATTTTTTAAAGAAACAGGTTGAAATGATGAGTTTAAAATGTGTTGTTTTAGAGCTTTTTTATGAAAACTACTTGTTTTTTTGTCAGGAGGAACATTGCCCATTATGAAAAGTATTCTTTCATATATCGAATCTTTCAAATGGAAACTTTCAAATTCAAATTATTTATTAACCATAGATTACAAAACCGTTTTTGAATTAAAAATGATGTTAGTTCTTTTTTAAATTTGTTGAAGTTTGTCTGATTTGATACAAAAAGGTAGACAATTGAAAAAATTGTATTCCGCATATGAAGGAGTTTTGTCATATAAACTAGTTTTATCTTGTTTGAGCTTATTAATTCACCTTTTCTTGTGGGATAACTGTACCATTGCGATAACTGTACCATTGTTTTGATGCAATTTTTATTTTTCTTTACATATATTGGACAATTGTATATCTAAAGTGCTGGAACTGTTAATATACCACTTTTTGTAAAAGTTGACCTGCACTTATGGTCAAAAATCGAAAATATTGCTCGTTTTTGTAAAATAAAAATTCAATTGATATCACTACAACTCGCCATAAGTTATATTGTACGATAAGATAGAGTTGATCAAAGCATAATATATGTCAATCAGGGACTTTCTATCTAGAGTTCCTTTAAGTTGTACCATAGCATACAAATTGGTTTTGATTTTCCCAAAAATGTTTTACTTGCATTTACAATAATTTTGTTGGAATTACACCACGCTATGAAAAGGTCTACAACACTATTCAGTTTCATTTGGTGTTCCTCTAGTGTTCGAACTTCTTCGGTTATAGATGTGTCATCTGCATATAAAATCATGATTTTGGTCCTTACGTGTACAGGAAGGTCATTAATGAAAAATAAAAACATCAGTGGCCCTAAAATCGAACCTTGTGAAATTCTAAGTTCAACATCATAACATTCAGATCTGGTGTCATAAAGATTCACAGTAATTTTTCTGAAACCGAGGTAAGACATCAACGAAGTGTGAAAATTTCCTCTGAATCCAATTTGTAGCTAATAATTTCCAAATTTGTAGAATCAGAGGCTTTGGATAAATCAAAGAAAAGTGCTCCAACGTACATACCCTTATCAATTTGACTATATATCGATTCTAGAAACGAGATAATGGCTTTCTCCGTTGACCTACCAGGGTATAAACCATTTTGAGATCCAGCGATAATTTTATATTTTTCTACAAAAGGAATGATTTTATCATAAATGCGCCTCTCTATAAGTTTGCTTGTTACGCTTGGAATAGTAATTGGTCGATGAATTAGAAGTAGATGATTTCCTTTCTTGTACTAAGGTGAAACTTTACCTATCTTCAGTAGATTCAGAAAATGCCCTTTATGTCACGAAGTAGTAATGATTTCTGTTTGCAAACCATCAAAACCTACAAAAATCTTATTCCTTATCGTACTCCGTAATATGTTTCAAACCTATATCAGTGGTGTGCATTGAAATATTTTTTTCAAAATATGTTTTTATTTTATCAGACACGGCTGTTCAAAAAATTAAGCAAATGCCTTTACAACTTTCTGGGGATCATCAACTCCTTGGTTATTGATGGATATTTTTTGAACAGTATTTTTTGTTGAAGTTTTGACTCTTGACAATTATCCAAACTGCTTTTTGTTTTTCACTTATTGTATGTACTTCATTGATTTCATGTTGAAAGTACATATTTTTTGCGTTACTTATATTTGTTCTATTTTGTTTTTTTAGTAATGATACATGTCTATTAATATTTTTTCTTTGGTATTATGGGCAATCCAAAAAGTCTTTCAGTTGTGTACCCTCCTGCTTCAAATTTTCCGTAATCCATTTATTTCTATTTACATTACTATCAACTCTAATATTTTTGTAGGGGCAGGTCGTGTTTACAGCTTTCCTTACAATTTATAAAAAATAATTGTAGGCAAGGTCAGCATGATCATAAACAGACTGATATGATTCATTCTGTGATAATTCATGTAGCTTATCAATGTTTTCTTCTTTGTATTCCATTTTTAAACATAGTTTGTTTTTTATTTGTCGAATCACTTTCAATTCTCAGAGAAAATTAATTTATACAACTTTCTCATCATACAATCAAGCTTCAATATTTGTTGCAAAGTAGTCAATTTGTGATGAATGAGTAACATCATTTACATCTTTGTATACCCTTGTAGGTAATTCATTTTTGAATGACATCTGGTAACTCTCGAGTAGTTCGAGAAACAAGTATCTATTTTTTCCTTTCTGCGTATTTCTTTGGGAATTCAAATTATTAACATTCTTATTGCTAAAAAATTTTACACTTGAAATTTTTTTGCAATATCATTGAGAATAACTGAAAGTCTTCTAAGGAATATTTCCACGTTACCACTTGGAGATCTGTACATATTAATCAAACTATATTTTTGGTATTTGATATTGAAAGATGTACGACTGCACTCAAAATGCATTTCTTCAGAAATTTTTGTGATTAACATATCTTTAGAACTCAAATCATTAAGCACATAAAATATAACTCCACCTTGAAAATGGTGTTGTCTATTAAAAGCTCTAGATCTATAAAGTTATTCAAATTCATCAACATATTTTCAGCAGAACACCATGATTCTGAGATACATAAAATATTTATATTTCTAGTTTGTATAATCATTTCAATTTGGTCAATTTTATTTGACAGTGACTGTACATTGATATGACGGATTCTAATATCGTCCAATTCTGAAACGTTTACTGAATGATAATCATAAAAATTATTTGTTAGACAATTGCCAGCTTCAATATCGAGTCGATATCGACTATTTCAATTTGTGTGGCATAAAATTCAAGTCACCTTCTTGAATTGACATTTCTTTTATCTGTTTAAAAATCTGTTTAAAATCTATTTTTCCGTTAATCAGCTGTCGCCCCCAGAAGTTGAGAAACTTGTGCGAGCTAAGGACTAACAATTCCACAACATCTCTGAGAATACTTAAGTCTCAATAGCTTTTCAGACTAGATTTAAACTTTTAGTTAAGACTTGAGTTACTGTATCATAAATATTACTGGAGTTTCATCCCAACACCAAACCATTATTTTAACACCTCAACGCGTGTTTAGATCACCAGGTGATCATCTTCTGTTTAGTCTTCCTCTTGAAGATGAACACCTGGTGATCGAAACACGTGTCGAGCTGTTAAAATAATGGTTTGGTGTTTTAATATTCATTACTACACCAAAAGTTCCAAACAGTGCATCACAATGATTGTATCATGTATTTCAACTGGGGGTCACCTGTTAATAAATAAATATGTCAGACACCAGTGGATAATCAACAATTGCAAAAAGCAGCAATACACTCAGCTATATTGAATTTTCTATAGTAATTACTGTAATTTTTGTAGTTTACTGTAGTTTGTCATTTCAGCAACCTATTTTGTGCCCCATATTTTTCAAATTACTAAAATTACTATTGAAAATGGCAATGAAATGTTCCAAAAATCAACAATTGTAACTGAACCTTGTCAGGTGACTGTTGTTTCAGTGTATGTCTTTTAAAAATTTGTTTCAAGTCCTGCAAATAAAAGCAGTTCACAATTTACCGAGCAGATTTTTATACAATATCTAAATCCAAAACAAGCACTTCACCCAATCACCAGAAATACAATACCCTTCTTGACACAGGTTTCACCAACCAATTTGGCGTCTTCAGGAGATGAGGAAAACTAATTGCTAACTCTAAAACTCTCAATTTATATTCAACAGATCACACTTTCACTTTCCGATACACATCAATGATTTCGGCCTAAAATTTGTGGGAAATGAAAGTTTCCACAAATTTTAACAGAGAATCACTCTATTAATAGGAAGGAATACAAATTCAGATAGTTCTCATTTCTTCTATGGCCTTTCTCTAAGGCGTGTTGAGCTATTCTAGAGTTTTCTGGTCTTGGAAATCAGATATATGTGTTCTTTGTAACGAATTTTAATGGTTCGCTTAGTTTGACCGAAATATTTTTATTTGTCACGGTCCTCACAGCTTATTTCATATATCCCCGACTTTTCATTTTCCAACATCTTGTCTCTAGGGTTACCTAACGTTTTTTGAAATGAGCAAGGAATTTTAAAGGCTACTTTCGCATTGAACTTTTTGAAAATACAATACAATCCAGCTAGTGTATCTTGGTTTTTACCGAAGGACAATTAATTTTGAATTCATGTATTTTTGAAGAGTCTTCGACTCTTCAAAAATCATGATTCCTTGTATTTTTAAATGTTTTTTTACTGATAATTCAATTTATATATTCACAACTTGAGCCACCGCAATTTTTTGTTTTCCTCCAAAATCATAGGGCATGATAGGTCTTATATCTGTTTCAAATCTGTTTTTCCGTTAATCAGCTGTTGCCCCCATACGAACGACAACTCTCAAAAGTTGAGAACTTGTGCGAGATAAGGACTAACGAGGTCTTACCTTTTAACGTGTGATTCCTAACACGGTTGCAGAATCATTCCAGCTTCAACCAGATGAATTCTCTCGAGAAAAATATCTGGTCGAGGCGGGAATCGAACCCACGATCTTCTGATCGTGAGTCGGGCGCACTACCAACGGGCCCATTCCACATATGTACATAATCATTGCACAAGTCATGATAATTCATTCAGAATATTTTATACATTTATATATGAAATGAAAATAAAACTAGGAATATACACCTCCTTAAAATTTTCATTATATAACAATGTGGAAATATCGTAACTGTTACCTGTATAATAAATTTATTTATCTTGTATTTTGTTCTAGTAACTGTGAGAGCTGATGTTACATCTCAGATGCAAGTTGCTGCCGCAACAGGTCAACCCCTTTTGGCTCCAGCACCCATGCAGCCATTCCTTTATCCGCCTAACATGAATCAAGCTTATCAACCTATGCATGCAGCAGTCAGGATGTACGAGACGCCTCCTCAGATACAGTACATAAATCCAAATCATCACCCATCTCAAACCCCATCGCCTGCCCAACCTCCACAATATAATCCTGCCCAAGGCCCACAGGGTCCACCTCAGCAATGTCAAGCAGCTCCTCCTCCTCAGGGTCATCATCAGTTCCCGTTGATGTACCCCATAATACAAGCGCAACCACACATGATGCAAAGCGTTCAGTATTTGCAGCAAGGACCTCCCCCTCCTCAGCATCCAATGCCCATGCTCATGCATCAACATCCAGGACAGGGTAACCCACATGGTCCTAATCCTTAACGGTGAATGTAGGTGTTATGTTAGGTGAATTTTTAATAATCTTTTTGTCGTCATCTTTTCTTTTTTGGTTTTTCCTTTTTCATCTCTTTTTAAAATTGAAGGTTGGTGTTGTTGATTTTGAATATTAGATTTTAAGAATACTAATAGTTTATTAGGAATTACAATTGAAGCAAATTTTTTGGTTTTGGTTCAAGTTTCAAGAAGCAGGACTTCGAAGGCCTTGCCAGTAAAAATGTTATGTATAAAAATTATTACTGTTGTAATATTAGCAATGAATAATTTGAAAGTAATTGAATTGATAAGCAAATATTTTTAGGGGGGATTTGTTTGATAAGTGGTGAAATATTCATATATAATATTTTAATAAAAATATACAATAACATTTGTAGTAATGAAAGAAATTCTTTCAACTCAAATATGTTCCCAAAAGAAGCTTTCAAAGGCATGTAATGGAATTGGCCGATACTTGAAAATCCGTTATATATTCAAGTAACAATTAATTGTGAATTATGAGTGGACTGACCCTTTACTTGATGGAAATTAATAAAACTATCCATGATTATAATAACACATTTTTCACTAACATTTTAATTCCTAGACACGTTTCGCTGACGCCGTAGCTTTGGCTTCCTCCATAGAAATTAATCCACGGTGTTGGCGAAACGCGTCTAGAAATGAAAAGTTTGTAAAAGTTGTATTATTATTATTATCGTGGACACTGTATTGTGAAATTTTCACTGAACAGCTCACAAAACCTAAATACTGTTTCACTATTCAGTGAAAAAGTCACAAAGTGTTACTTCAATATTTTCAAAGGCAATTATTATTATTTGACATTTCCAGGATTCTCTTGGAAATAATTATTTCACTTTTTTGTTAGGATGTTCTCCTGAATATTATTTTCTTATCTGATCCATCAAACTTCAGGGATTATTTCATTTTGATGTTAATAACAAAATTCCTGGGATACATGACGATAATGTGATCAGTATTACAGTACGGTGAAGCCTAACTGTCATATTGTTGAGAAAAATTAGGTCAGAATATCATCAATATTTCAGTGGGTGCAAACTGCAATGCAGTTTGTATGTTATAAGATGTCTATACATTGGTATATTTCTTTTATTCTTTTTTTTTTTTTTTTGAAAAAATCAGTGAAGCTTAGTTGGAAGATGGTGCCTTTACACAAGTCTGTATTTATAGTTTTTCTCTGAACTAAGTGTGAAGTTATGAATACACTGAGCCATTACTTAATGAAAATTAATAATAACAATCCATTATGATAAAAATACGATTTTAACAGTATAAGTTCTATTCAAGACGCATTTTAATACATGGTAGTGTAGCAATGCAACTGATGAAACTACCGTGTAGTGAATTCTTATCTTCATTATAGTTTGAGCAGTTGAAAGTTTATTGACTGTTATTATATGAAATGGATCACAATTCACATTGTTATATTGAAAAATTTTCATTACTGAAGTGTGAAGTCAACTGTGGAAGGTCATATTGATCAACTGGTGTGTTTGAAACTTTTACACATATGAATTGCTACACTAGTGTAGGTACCTTACTATAGCAGTAGTATAGCACTGCTTTCAATTGTAATAATAATAATGATTTTGAACTTTTACATCAATGAATATTTCCTCAATACGTACAGTGAACATAAATCGGTGCTCACATTTCACATTAATTCTAAAATTTGTATTTTGAAATTAGGTTTTTTTAAGAAAATATTTCTTTTTAATATTAACACGCCTTTATTAGCTTCACCTGTGTGTATATATGTTTGTTTGTTTGTAACTCTTATTCCCTGTTTGAATGCTCGAGATCTGTATTTGACAGAATTATCGACATTATTGCTTCATCTATTCACGGGCAGATGGTGCTGTAAGTAACCTCCTTGATATAATTCGAACTCACTTTACATGTATTTCTTCATTTGAAGGAAGGCAACGCCTGCTGCCTTCCTTGGGCTTGGTAGCTGATTTTCAGGATCCCTCTCTGGAATCGGAAAATATCACATTGGTATTTTTCTAAACAATATACGGCTGATTGATCCCAAAGTTTAGATAAAATAAATATAGTTTGAAAAGACTAGAAAAAAACGCTTTTATAGCATACGAGACTAAAAAATGAAAATAAATATAGTTTAAAAAAACTGAAAAACACGCTTTTCAAGAACATCGAGCTAAAAAGTCAAAAAAAATAATTAGTTTAAAACAATAACGAACGAAAAATACTAGTATTATTGTGAAAATAGCGTGGGTGCTTTGTGCTATATTTTTTGTATATCAAGCGCTCGTCGCTTTTTTCACAATAATATTGGTATTTTTCGTTCGTTATTGTTTTAAGCTTATTTTAAAAAAATATTTTCAACTTTTTAGTTTGATGTTCTTTAAAAGCGTGTTTTTAAGTTTTTTGAAACTATATTTATTTTCTGAAAATAATCTAGACATATATCACTCCTACACCAAACAAATTTTTGAAAGTTTATCCGAATTATACGATTGAAAGTTTTCCTTGACTGAATGTGGCATTTTGCATTGGTCACTGACCAAAGTAGTTCTATTCCTAGGAATTTAACTAATTCATCACTTAAAATATTAGTCACTTTTGCTACCACAGATTTAGAAATACTGTTTCTTTGCCAGACACATATTAAAGTAAACGCATTGTTAATTTATTTCATAAGAAAATCTGAACAGTGAAAATTTGCTGCAGTGATTGCAAGTGTCGGCCCTCCAGCAAAATGTTTCCATGTAGCTGAAGATTTTTAGGAAAGTGTTGTATTTTATCTGGAGAAAGAATACTATGACAAGGAATACTTATGTTTTTTGTTCTTAAAAATCAAATCATTTATTCATCTTAGCAAAAAATATGTCATCTGTGAAATGGCAATACTTCATTCAGTGAGTTATTCAAGTACCACTTATTGGGAGATTTCCACTGGACAGTTTACAAATCTGCAACACGTGTTTCGCTATACAATAATTTCCTCGTAACGTTTTCATACAGAATATGAAACACGTCTTGCAATTCATCAAGTATCGGTCAATTCCATCACATACATTCAGTGAATAATGAGAAGCTGTTAGCATTGAATATAAGAACAGTTGCATTAAAGTCAGATATGAGTTCGTTGGTGAATGAAAAGATATCAGAATATCAAAGTTTCATTGAAACCATTTTTTTAGATTATTCTGAAACTGCTTTTTATCGGCAGTCTGTTGAAACATATCTGATATAATTTTTCAACATTTTTTTGGTGTTCAAATCTACAACTCCAACTTACAATTTTATTTGTAATACTTTCTATTTCAAAATTTGTTATTTTTGTTATATTCTTTTAGTTTTGTTATTTGTTATTTTCTATGATTAAAAATGTATGGTCGTCAAAATTACTGGTCACTTTCTCAAGTTGAAGCTAAAATTCAATCAAACATAGAAGTCTTAAAATTAATCTGATCTAGGATTGAAAGTAATTTTCAAACCTGTTTTTCTACAATTGTTTTCAAATATTTAAGCCTAAACATATTGCATAATTGATAGTTAATAATCTGTTTTCCTGATATTGTTATTTTTTATGTGACCATCCATTAAATTGATATGAAAATAAAAGTCCTAATTGAGTATGAAACTCAATCCATTCCATATTTTTATCCTTTAGGGTCATTCTTGAATGCTATATGAATTTTATGATTATAACAGGTATGCAATGTATCTAATTACTAATTGGATTTTGACAATACAAGAGTTCATAATTTTGAGATCTAAGCTAAAATGATTTTTGCATTAGTACGTTCAATGAATCAGCAAAATTTCAATTGAAAAAAAATTCAATGTCTATCATTAAAGAAATAAGTTTTCTTCTGGAGTTCTTTGATGCTAACTTACAGTTTTTCTGTGAGGATCGGAATTTGGCTAACTTCATTGAAGGATTACCCTAAAGATGATTTTCTTCACAAGGTAGTGGTGAAGTTTTCGTTTTGAAAACAAAAATCTTACAGTATTCGGATGTGGCCAGAGCTGGGCTTGGCATAATATTTTTCAGCTGTTTTTTGTATGGAACTTGAGGCACCCGTTGTTAATATGCCTATTTGTATTTGTTGAGAGTTAGGCAGCAGAGGTGCTTTTGTAGATACTAAGGTGCCTTAAACTTTTCTTTGTATTGATCATGAAAAAGAGCTATCGGCACCTCAAATTGTTTTGTTACTTAGTTGATCTAAGTATTGTAAATTGGATACCACCTGATTGAAAATTATCAATTTTTCTCAATAACTGTAAACTGTTGAATGATACAAACTAATTTTTTTTACAAGTTGGTTTGTATCATGTTGAAAATTTCATATCTTGGAAAAATAATCAAAATTTATACTAACAGTTACAGATGTTATCAAGTTGTTTTTTTTTTCACAAATAAAGTCTTTTGAGTTTATTTGTAAGCCTGTGTTTTAATTCCGAAGAGTCACAGCTACTGATAGTGCTTTTCAATATATTCCAGCCAAGTCGAAGAGGATTAACGAGGTCATGAAACCTAAACTACATTAAGTTATTTGCCAGTTGTGCCTTTATTCTAACTTTCTCCATAATACATTTTTAGTTCACTAGAAAAATTATATTGAACTCTGTCCATCCAAGCAATGGAGTGCTCCAAAACATTATCATGCATAGTGCACGTGATCTCCCAGACAAGACTGCTTGTACAGAGTCGCACTAAGGAACGACCGATTTTTTTTTTATAATATGCGGCTGGGTATAATAAACTTACTCAAAGTTCAACTGATGAAGAAAACAAAAATAATTTTGTGTATTTGACATTAAATGAGCTACAAAAAAATTGAGTCATTTTATTTCAGCAGGACAAACGGGTAAACAATTTTTTATTTCAAAATGTCGGTTCAGTATATATATCAAAAGAAATAAATCCTTTTGTCATTTCAGGCCGATTACTCAGATGCTGAAGAACTGCTACTAGAAGAATTATCATTAAGATTAATTATCAATGGATTTTTGTCAACTAAATCATCTAATCTTAACATTTTTATTTCTACTTTATCTTTCACGTGTCCTACGCAATTTTTCCATTTTTCAACGACCTTTCGAAATTTGGTAGATCAGGATCATCGTCTACAAATTTGAGAAGTGAATCTATTGTTGGCATTTCGTTTTGAAAAGAAAAAGATGTACTTTCCTTCTACTATTGTTTAAATCAGAATCGTCTACCTTATCAATAATTTTCTTTCGTTGGGGATATGGTTTTGGAGCTGAAAAAGAATGCTTTTGTTTATATTGTCTCACAACTCCATAGACACTTAAAGGAGACACTCCAGCAATAAAGGATTTGCTTCAATATGATTTTTGTAAATGTTCATAATTATATTTTTTTCATTAATATTAAGGTGCAGTTTTTTTATCTTGTTTTAAGTGGAGTGTAGGGACACAAATCAGCAGTTTCTTCAGCCGTATCAGTACTTGGCATTTTTAACTTTAAAATATTGTGTATGTACACATCTCATAGGCATTGAAACGTAACTGACCACTCGGTCACTAACTAACGATATACCTAAAACAATGAATTCCGCCAGCCGATTGCAGTTGAATCTGATTGGCCAGCATAAGGAGGCTTGTTTATTTTACCCAATAAATGCAAACGTGCGTGGTGATCATTCTTTGATAATAATAATAATAATAATACTTTATTTTCCATGTAGACAATATACATTGTATAGGAATACTCATTAAAAGAAGTAAAAATAAAGACAGAGTATAAGAAACATACAAGTAGAAAACATCACCTTTAAACTAAAATACCCTACTTATCTAATCTAAAAATTCAATCAATGAATAAAAACATTGTTCAATTAAATCACTCTTCAAATTTCTCTTAAACGTCACAAAATTATGTTCTTCCCTTAAATGATCGGGCAGTTTGTCGAATATTTTGATTCCAATGTATTCTGGTGCAAATGAAGTCTATTTTTTGTTCTAGTGTCATGGTGATGAACATTTTTATTCATTTTGAAATGTGTTTTGTTTTTGAATATGTAAATGCATATTTCAAATATATAAACTGGTATGTGTCAAGATGTGATAATTTTTGAAAATTTGTCTGCAAGATTCTCTCCTTGAGACATTTGCAACCGCACTGAAAAAGAAGAAGGTGGATCAATCACTTGTGAATAGGTTCCAGAATTGCAGGAACATCCGCTGACAACATAGCTCGTTTCAATATGTCGTTCACTTGGTGATGTCGAGATGTACGCCCTGCACTTCTTCTGCAACTCAAACCATGTGTACCTTTGTCATCAACTATACTACCGCAAACACAAGTATGAGAAACACAAATAGATGAACCCATCCTAAGTCCTACTGCTATTCTGAAAGATTCATCGTCTAGCACCCGATTCCTTGATCATTGCTGCTTTCAGACGAGCCTTATCGTATACACTTGTAGATTCCAGAAGTTTATCAGTTATAATATTCAGGAGAGGTCGGTCCCATACACTTTGTATTTTCTTTTTATCTGTAGGAGGAGCAATATTAGTTGCAGCATGCCAAAGTGATTCACCTTCAGAATAAAAAACGCCTTTGATATTGATAAATATGGAAGGAAGGATGGAATCGATAAGATCGGAAACACTATTGACTGATGACAAAAACGCTGGTAAAGCTAAGGAAGAAGCCGAACGTAGCCCTAATCCGCCAAGGTTTACAGGAAGAGTTGCTTGGAGCCATGAATCATTATTGAAATGATTGTAAGTTATACATTCCGTCGTGTGGCGGAGTAAATTATCAAATTCGTCAAGCTCTAACTGACTTGTCCAAGTGGGGGAACATCTGAGGGCGTACATGAGTTTTGGAATCGCCAAACAATTTTTCAAAAAAAAAAATGCAACGTGTTTTGGAAGTTCATTCATTTTTGTAATTGTAACAATTTCAAAAATGAAATTGTTACAATAATTATCCCTGAAAATGATTAAACAATTTCTAGACGCGTTTCGCTAACCTTCATTGGTAGTAATAAACAATGGACTACAATTCTTATATACAACAGTAAGTTACCTCGCTCAATTGTTTATGAGTCATTGAGATAAGGGGTAGGATTTGTAAAACAATTACAATGCCAGTTCTTAGACAGTAGGTGAATTTTAAATATGAATAAAATTATTGGCATTATGAGAAATGGTTTAACAATGGTGAGTGGTTAACCACTTGTTGGTCGTTCAATAGGGAATTTGAATGTTTGCCCTTATTGATTTCCAGAGACTCCAGCAGGTTCAATATCTGAACTTTGTCCTTGTGAATTATAAATCATCCTTATAAACTATAAATCCTTATAAATAAAGGAATAACAATATTTTGTAATTTGTTACAAGTTTATTATGGACTTACCAACAAGTAGTTTCACTATATTTGAAAATATTATTAAAACACTTAATATATCAGAACAAAGACAAGCATTCACAAATATACAAGTATGATAGACTAAAAAGTCTAGTGGGAGGTTCAAAGAGCTGACAAACAATTTAGGTTTTTATTGTGTTGAATAAAAAAAGGAGCCATAAAAATAAAGAAATAAAAAATATAGAAATCTGGTTTAAGATGAAGTAAAAAGACCCAATCTCAGAGATGGAACAGTAAAAAATGTCGAGCTGACTATTTGCTGAATTGCATTTGACACACCTTATGCAGAGGTGAACGTTTCAGAATACTTGTACGTGGTTAAAAAGGATTAACCACTCTAGATGTTGGTCAATAATTGAATTAATAATCAGTTTGAAAAGAAAAAATTGTGGAGTGACAATCAGACGGCAACTCAAGCTATTCATATACCATGTCTAGCTAAAAATCTATCATAGAGAAATTCAATTGGTGGATAGATATTGTCTGATGTTTAGGAGAGAAGTTTTAGGAAACGACGTTGTACTGATTCAACTTTCTGTGTATACAACTGATGAGATGGATTCCAGATTATGGATGCATATTCTAATTTTGATCTGACGAAAGCATAGTATAAAGTTTTCGATGTAGATGGATACGAGAAATCTCTGAAGAATCGTGAGATAAATCCATGCATCGTTTATTAAAACACCATTGCTCAACATGTTTCAGAATGAGGGAGAGTTGAAGACAGTTCTCGAGGTCATTGATCTCACAATATAATTTCAGGTCATCCGCGTATATCAAACAGTTTACGTCAATGATCTCAACTATGTCGTTAAAAAAAGTGGACCTAGGTTGCTTCCTTGTGGAACACCCGAGGTGCTGCATATTCCACAGACTTGAAGCCATTGAATATAACATACTGACCCCTGTCAGTGAAGTATGATACAAAGAGTTGGATCAGGGTCAGAGAAAAGCCGTACCTGTCCGTATATATCACATCAGTTTGCGATCTTCTATGGATGGTTTCAGAGATATATTGGGTAACATTGAAAGGTTGATGATTATCGAGCGACCTTTCATAAAACCATGTTGAAGTGGTGTGATTTGATTGCTCAAATGAAGAAATACCCTGCTATAAATTAGAATTTTAAACACTTTTGCGAAGTTGCATATTGTTGATATGGGTCTATAATTACCGAAATCAAACTTGTCCCCTTTTTTATAAATTGGCCGAATTTAGATAATTTCCATAGATCTGGGATGGTACTACTTTTGATGCAGATATTTATTAATATTGTCAATGGACGAGCCAAAACATATGCACAATCTCTGACAATCAGTGCAGGGAGACTGTCGGAATCCGTTGTCATTTTCGGTTGTACCTGTTTCAAAGCAGCCAACCTTCATTTTCTTCGAAGTAATGAATGTTCAAGACTTGTGAATATGGATGGTCACCACTCAATTCCGAGTTTGGCCGAACAAGTTGTTTTATTTGCTATACCTTCGTCAAAGGTTGGTTTTGCTTATTTGGAAATGATTACAACCAAAATATTTTAATAAGAAACTTATAGGTAACGAAACACTTCTATCTAAGAGAAAATCAGAGACAAATCAAATCAAATTTTATTAAATCCATTTTCCTATTACACAATGGATTGGACGTGTCTGGTGAGGTGTAAAACCCACACACTTACTACAAAAAAACTTTCTCCTAAAGTACTACTTTACAGGTTAAAGATCATTTACAATGACAAAATAAAAGATATACACATACATACATTGACATACTACATTGGTGAGGATGTAACCCTAATATTACTTAATGACATATAAAAATAAGTATACAAGACATGTTGATATAAATATAAAAAAATCATAAAGCACAATAAACACTTTGAACTCAGTTAACTTTGCTAGAAAGAAAGTCATCAAATTCCCCTAGGCTATAAAAACAATGATTCGTTAAAATTTTCTTTAACCTAGGTACTTTTGAAGATTCCGTACGTGTTACTATTTTTTATATTATCAGGAAGCCTATTGAAGTAAGACGCTCCAATCATCAGAGGTGATTTTTTGTGAAAAGTGTGGTTCGTTTTTATGCCTTGTGTTGTGGTTGTGAATATCAGAATTTTTTGGCAGTTTATTTCGGTTTCGGTAGATATGGCTCAGTAATTTATATAAGTAAATAGAAGTAACAGTAAGAATTTTTTGGTTTTTGTATACATCGCGACATGAAGTTTGATAAGGTAGGTCAAAAATTAATCGCAATATTCTTTTTTGTAATACAAACACCCTTTGGTTATCACGCCCTTATATTATTAGCACCACTATGAGATAATCTTGTTCCTCAACATCCCAACGGAGATTTTGAANATAGGTGGTGCTAATCGAGCCCTTTTCCTAATGCCCAATTCATCAGAATAGCCATTTCACAGAATATCTAGATGGTGAATAGATTTAGAAATAAATTATTATTATCTTCACCTATTAGTTATTATAAGTTGCTGCAGTTGAAGCACCTGAACTTTTTAGGAACCATGAATTGAATTAGTAATATGACTCTATCGCGAGAAATTCAACAAAAAGCTTCGTTTTTCGATAACTGATTAAAATAGTGAAATAGACGTCAAAAATAGAATCAATAAAATAAATATCCTCGGGATTGTCATTAAGAGGCCAAACGGTTTTAAAATCGGAAGGTCTAATTTGTCTGCCCCCAATCAAAAACTATTTATTATTTTTGAAATTATAGTTTAAAGTAAAATTGAGATCTCCGTCTAGTGATTGAACACTATCAAGTTCGCAATCTTTTTCATCAGTGCAGGATAACGGTGAGATTTTTCTTTTTTCCACTGGTATAAATGGCGATGGGAACGATTCAAATTCCATTGGCGAGGGAAATTCTAGTTTTCTTTTGGGTTTTGTTGATTCTGTTTGTGTAGACGTCAATATCTGTATACTCAAATTATTATTGAAGTCTCTAAAATTGAGAAATAAAATTATTTTCGACAAATTTGAAAAAATGTAGATGTGTTGAAAAAAAGAGAAGTGTAATTCTTGATAACGTTTTTTCATAAAAAGTAAAAATTTCAAATGTTAAACAAATATCTTTTGTTCATTCTTTCATTTTATTATAATTTTGATGAAAATGTATTTTTTTATACAGAGTTCAAAAATATTTAAACTGAAAAAATTTGGAGAAACTTCGTTCGAGAAACATGTTGTATATGTGTGAGTGCGTGTATATGATTATTTACCTTTTTTTGACGTTTGTGGGGAATCTACCAATCTATGTTTCACCATATCATTTTGGATAGTCGGGATCAATAAGCTTGTTACCTTTTCTTCATTAACTGTAATTTCAGCATCATCAGCTGCTTCCACAATTTTTATATTTCGAAGATTGTGCTTTCTACTAGTTTTATAACCCCTTTCTTTTCTCAGAACTGTTGATAATTTTATTCTTTTTTGCTTATTTTTAAAGTTTCCAATCGATAGTTGGGCAGCTTTTATGTGATGGCAATCTTTTTTTACATTACATGAACAAGTTTCGTTTGGAAAGAGGGTAACTACATGATTTGCACGTTCGCCAGATATAATGAACGCCTGACTTTCTGGAACCCATTTTACTCTTCCTTCCATTAACATTGTTTTTGCAATATTGAAGTTCGTGTGAATAGTTTCCTCATTTTTAATTATGTCTTTGTCTCTATTTTCGAATACATTCGGCAAACGATCTAGAGCAACAGTGGAAGTTGGCCAATGAACTTCATCTGCATTAACAGACAAATTATTTTCAGTTTTTTGAGAATTGCGATAAGCATGGGTGGGGGTTGGAAAATATTTTTGTCGAAAATGAATAACCTGGTCGAAATTCATGTTTGGCATACCCGACCTGCAAGAATTTCTGCCGACTTGCAAGGTTTATTTTCAATTTAATGAGGAATGTGGAATTTTTCCATACTCAAAGGGTGGGGGTTGAAATTTTTTTTGTCGAAAATGATTAACCTAGTTGAGATTCATGTTTGGCATACCCGACCTGTAAGAATTTCTGCCGACCTGCAAGTTTTATTTTTAATTTAATGAGGAATGTGGAATTTTTCCATACTCAAAGGGGGGGGGGGCTGAAATTTTTTTTTGTCGAAAATGATTAACCTGGTCGAGATTCATGTTTGGCATACCCGACCTGCAAGAATTTCTGCCGACCTGCAAGGTTTATTTTCAATTTAATGATAAATGTGGAATGTTTCCACCCTTTAAAGGGTGGGGGTACGAAGTTTTTTATGTCTAAAATGATTAACCTGGTCAAGATTCAAGTCTGGTAGACCCTACCTGCAAAAATTTCTGTCCTCCTACGAGATTACGAGAGCACTGTCTACTGAGAACAATTTGCTGACCTGCAGACCTGCAAAATAGTTATACCCGTAAGAAACAGCTCTGTATCATTCGGATCATTAGAAGGGGACATAAATAATTATTGTTTTGACAATTTCAATACCACAGATATTTTTTACTTTGACTTCCAATTTGAAAATTCCCGATAGTTTGAAGTTAAGGCATTAGAGTCCGACAATTCAGGTAATAGTAAAATCAGTGCAGTGCAATATGAAAAAATTCAATTTTGCTGTTCTGTTCGCTGTACAGAGTGGGCCAAATTGGACACTTTGTAAGGAAAACTACTGTTTCCAAACTAGATATATGAAAACTGTTGGCTGCGTATGAGGGTCAAATTTTATGGTAAACTCAATAGTGAAAAAGGCATATCGATATCTATCATCGTTTCTGAGTTACATGTTTTTCGAAAATGTACATTTTCGAAAACATTTTGTAAACATGGTGTAACATTTTTCACAGGAAAAAAGTTACACCAAACTTTCGATAATGCACATTTTCGAAAAACATGCTGTAACTCAGAAACGATATGATAGATATCGATATGCGGTTTTCACCATTAAGTTTGTCATAAAATTTGACCCTTAGACACAGCCATCAGTTTTGATCTATCTAGTTTGAACAGGAATTTCCCTTTAAAAGTGTACAATTTGGCCCACTCTGTACTGTTGATGTTTAATGTACTGTATACAATGTACAATAATGGGTTAATTTCTACAACAACCACAAAACAAATCTAGAATTATGTCCACAGATGCTGTAAAGGGGATATTCCCCAATTTTTTTTGCTTCTTTCCTGAAAAGAAGTTAAGTATTACTTCTCCGATTAGTATATAGTTTGCTGTTTATGATAGTAAAAGTTTTTTCCTTGTTATGTTAATGATAACTAAAAAATGTCCACTTAAAAGTTGAGACAAATAATAAGTGAAGGTGATGACTTTTCCTTTTATGATGATGCTATCGATGGGAT